GGGGGGTTATTGCTGCTCTCCCTGCTCTCATCCATGCTAGGCTGCATGGAGATGCAGGGAGTTCTTGCCCAGAACAGAAACTTACCGCCAATCCAAACTGTATGCTAATTGTCAATCATCTTTGACAATAGTGGTCCTGACAGAAATCAAGCACTCCCTGCTCTCATCCATGCTAGGCTGCATGGAGGCTGTGACAAGAGGGGTTGGGCCGAGAGCCGTGGGAACGGAGCGAGGCCGGTGGAGGAAATGCAGAGAAGTCCAGGCCTGGTCCTCTCTCATCCAACACTGTCGTCACTCCTCCTTTTATCCTTCCGGAGCTCCTCCGTGGGACTCGAGACCGGTGAGTGGTGCAGGTGTCACGCATTAGCATTTCCTCCACCGGCCTCGCTCCTTTCCCACGGCTCTCGGCCCCGCCCCTCTCGTCACAGAGGCGCAGGGAGTTCTTGCCCAGAACAGAACCATACCGCCAATCCAAACTGTATGCTAATTGTCAATCATCTTTGACGATAGTGGTCCTGACAGAAGTGCAAGAAGCTCAGCTACTGGAGTCAAAGACTGGGCTTCTGTTTAATCACCACTAATATTATTAGAAATATTACTCAGTTTAAGGTCTATCTAAAGTATTAGTTTTCCCAAACTCACATGCATTTTGATGAACAAGTGCTTTTTTAGAAAAGGTGGAGCATATGGAATGATTTTATGAACAAAAGGCTTGTTTGTTTTGGTGCTGTGCAAACGGCTTGCCTCTCACCCCTTTCACACTCCTTTTTCCCTGCAACACAAGTGCACACACACACCTGCCCCCAACACTTCACACCAGCACCTTGCAGCACCATGAATATATTCATGAGTGGAAGAGTGTTGAGAGAAATACCATGCATCAAACTCAACACACTTCTTTCCTGTCTATCAGACAGAAGCGCATGGAGAAGACACTGAAAGATGACAAGTTGGACTGCTGACTGCTCTCTATTTTTCTCTCCCTTGAGAAAGGGCAAAAAGAAAGAAAAATGTAAGAGAAAACATAAGAGGCTTTCAAAGAAAACACACATGCAATATTTAAAATCTAAGAATGAAAAACTTAAAACACAAACAGCTTTCAGAAGGCACTCATAAACACATAGTTTAAATATAGCTATACCCTACAGCTTTACACTTGTATCACAATTTACCTCAAATATATATTTTTATAATTTATCATTTATATTTTTATATTATGCAATTATGCATATCTTGATATTTATGTCTATATTATGTCATCATCTTGGCAAGTCAACATTTTGTCAAAAGCACTATCCATTTCTTTAATTGCAAAAGGTTTAAGTGGAAAAAAGTTACTTATTTAGGTTCTTCCTGGCACCTTTTCCATAATTAGCTAATGATCCTTCTTTAATTAATTCATTAATTAGCACAGGAAAAAAATAATCACATCTATCACTTCACTGTGAGTGTGCGTATCATGTAACACAGAGAATTTAACATGACATCCGCACATCTATTCCAGCATGACTAGGCAAGATTTATGTGCCACATCAAAACACATATTTCACTCCATTCATTTGTATTGTTTTTATACTGAGCTAATGATATTTTGTTTGTATCCTCTAAAAAAATCTATATTTTTATATTTTTTATTAAGAAATTGCTGCTCCCTGCCACATATGTAGTTTTTACTATAATGAACCTTTGGTCTCAGCAATGTCGGCGAAACCTGAGCCATACAGGTTTTCTCCCACCCTTTTTCTTTTTGTTTAGAAGAAACGGACACAATCACATTCACAAATATCAACAGCCCTCCACGTGTGAGAGTGAGGTGTGCATTTGTTCAGATGGCTTTTCTGTGACCGTGTGATAATGAGCTAAATGAGTGTATTAGGCTGACAGACGGATGCCCTGCACTCCTGACATTTGGCTTGCTCTTTACTGAGCCTTCGTCCTGCAGGGACACACACACATACAAGCAAAGAGCAAATCCATTCAGGAACAGCCTTAAAAACCTGCCAACCTCCCTGATCATTCGTTATGTTACAGCACCAGGATGGCATCTGTAAAACATTGTGTCTGTAGGTCATAACGGCTTCAAAAATGTAAACGTTGCCTTTAATTGGCATTATATGGGAAAATTCATTTTACAGCTCTGAATGATTGAGACACCAGGCTCACTGAACAAATACAAGAAGATTCATAATCAACGACAATGTGTTGCTTCAGGCAAGCCAACCATATAAAACACACAATTGACTAGCTGCACATGTACAACATGGAGGAAAAGAATCTGCTTTGAATGAGCTCTAATTCATTTCCTCCTGTAAACGTTTGTAAGAACAAATGTGCAGCATTTAAATCAGTTTAATTTTTGTTTTTCTTATGCGTCAGAATGGCTTGAGTGCAGCAAAAGCAATTGAAGTCAACACAGTCTAATATCTTTTTCCTCCAAAATGCTTTAATGTGCAATCTAGAGAGCATTTTCAGGGAGCACTTTTAACGTCTATGCCAGGAAAGAGCATTTTTTAACAGGCTGTTCCTCTCTCATCCCTCTCTGGTTGTTGTAACATCTTCCGACAGCTTCCTGTCAGAACGTCAGCTTCTGTGATGCCCACGGTGTCCTGACAGGAGGTCCAACTATGCTCCTCCCAAAAATATACTTTCCAAAAGAAGCATCCTTCAACATCACAGCCCACAAGCCTTTTGTGGGCCGATTCTTGTTCTTGATTCGTAAAGTTACAAAGACTAAAGTCTCAAACCCAAAGAGATATTCTTTATAAAAGTTACGCCCCATTTAAACACGCCCCCACATGTCTATGTCACTGTGTTAGAAGTTTAACATAACACCACCCGAAAGTTTACGCAAAGAAAGAAGGTGTAACTTTTATTCTCGCTGTAGTATTGTTGCCGCACTGTGTGTTTCCAAAATATGGTAAGGGGCATAACATTTCCGTCACACGTTTGAGGTATTCGGCCAATCACAACGCACTTGACAGCCGGCCAATCAGAGCACACCTCACTTTTCAGAACGATGAGCTTTGTAAAAATCTACGTATTTCAGAAAGGCGGGGCAGAGAGGAGCAACAATAATGTACGGTATGTGGAAAATAATGTTTTTTGAACGTTAAACCGCGTAAACACATTGCATTACACCAAATACACAAAATAATGTTATTTTTAAGTGATGTAAACTCTTTCCCCGCCAAACACCGAATTTTACTTTATTCATGAGACAAAGTAACTGAATCAATTATCTCAGCTTTTTGCTCAATTTTGCTTTTTTATGAAACCTACCTACATTCAAGTGTTGATAAAAAACAATGCTTGAAGCAAGAATAAAACAGATTTTTTTGTTTGAAAGTAGAGGGTCTGATCTTTATTTTGATGTTTTGCATGTTCAAATATTCATACAACAAAATATTCTGAGGGCCATGAAATTTCAGTGAAAATCTACTTTTCAAACTTTTTTTGGCAACTTCTTTCAAAAACACTGGCGGGGAAAGAATTAATAGAAAAGTAGTACATTTCTAAATTTACCGAACAAGTTCTGGCATTCAGAATTTCCTTTCAGAACAAGTTACTTTTTACATTTTATTTTTATTTTTTCAAATACATAATAATATTAATATAATTAATATAATTACATAATATGATATAAAATCATTCTAAATTATATAAATCATATAAAATAAAATAAAATTATATAAAATGACATAAAATTATAGAAAATAATTCTACATATATAAAATAATATCGCTCAGAAATGCAAGTAAAATGTGTTCTCAATGCCAATTAATGTTAACTTTACAGCTCAACACAGAGACATTTTGTTTGCACTCAGGGGCACAGCCACCCTATTGCAGCCTCAGGGGTGAGGCAGGTCGCAAAGGGAAACACTTTCTAAATGTCAGGCACACAGACACATCAGTCCTATACCTATGACCCCTGCCTGTACTTTCTGAGGCAGATACACGCTTGCAGAGACCCGCACACACAAACACAGTTATGTGGCAAAAACTTGTTCGACCCTGAAAGCCGCTGTTGGCGAGTTGTCACTCTCATCAACAGAAGCAGTGCAGATTATAAGTGAAGGGCTGCCTCATCTCTTATCAGAGTCAACAGCTGTCCAAACTGAATCAGAAGGTTACAACCTTCCTGCACTGATCTATAGCTATGAGTGTGATTAAAGGTCTCACACATTCTTCAATTCTTGCCACAGAGATACAACGCTGATTGAAGTGTCCTTAGTATGAACACATGTCACCGTTGAGGATACCGTTTCAAATAAGTAACTTTTTTGCTTTTAAAGGAGACATTTAACGGAGAACTGGATGAAATAAAACAGCATAATATGCAATGTAAATGTACTCTATCTTTCACAACTCGCCTTCTAATCTACTAAACTATAAAAAAAATACTGTACGTCATCAGGAAATCTGCCTGTTTTTAACACTGTGTATAACCAAGTACACTGCAATAAGCTTTACCACATTTGATGGTCATTAAAAGGGATAGTTCACCCCCAAAAAAATATTTGGAACATAAAAGTCAACATTTAACATGTTCCACAGAAGACAGAAAGTCATACAGGTTTGGAACGACATTAGGGTGAGTAAATGACAGAATTTTTATTTTTGGGTGAACTATTCCTAAATTAAATTATGACTAATAGTGCAGGAAACCTTGATTTGATGTAAAAACTGAATGAATAAATAAATAAACTGCTTCTAAAAGAGTAAAATAGGGCTTCTGTCTGCATTAGTTAAAATTTTCTCTTTTCCCACTACTGTTTGCAAAAATGACTGCACATGTTGACTCGCCTCCCTGTGCGACCAACAGAGAATGACTGTTGTGTTCTGGGCTGCACCTGGGTACCAACAGTGAGAGAGCAAGTGGAAGTCAACTGGAATAATAAGGGAGTGAAAGAGAGAAACAGAGGTATCAGATGTGAGTGTGGGCCCGCAGAAAAACCAACACCAGCTCTGCCACACACGCGCGCACGGTCATGTATCGCTAACACTGACCAGCAGTCTACATGCACACACACGCTCAGAGCAAGTGTAGATTAAGTGACCGTGGCTGACCTCTCCTTGTTGAACTTGAGTGAGTGCAGCACAGCTGGTCTCTTCTGTCGCAGGTTCCACAGGTGAATACTATCATCAGCCAAAGCACTAACCAGCGCCCCCTACGAGACAGAACAAAGAAAGACACACCATTTATACAACCTTTGGAATAAAGCCTTATGAAACACAACCATTTTTAAGTTGGGGGTCAGTAAGTTTTAATTGATTGAAAGTGACAGTAAAGGCATTTATAATGTTACAAATAAATAAACACAAATAAATTCAAATAAACTCTGTTCTTTTCATACAAAGTATCCTGAAAAAACACAAAAATATTTAACAGAACAACTGTTTTTCACATTGATAATAATAATAATAAGACGAGATGTTTCTTGAGCAACAAATCAGCATATTAGAAGTTTATTTTAAGGATCATGTGACACTGAAGACTGGAGTAATAAATTACATTTTAAAAAAATATTAAAATAAAAAATGGTTCTTTTTAAATTGTAATAGTATTTCACAATATTACTGCATTTATTGCATTTTTGATCAAGTAAATGCAGCCTTGGTAAGCATGAGACACTTTCAAAAACATTAAAAAATCTTATACATCTCAAACTTTTGTACAGTATGTTTACATTATCAAAACCAAGACACAATGTCAAATTACATACATCTCTTTTTTTTCAAACTTTTTTACATCGCTTAAAAAATGTGGTTATTATTGCACTGGCAGGGTAATAAGCCAAACACAATAATGTGGAGGCACTGCTTCCATTACCCTCCTCACATACATGGAACTGAATTTTAATGAAAACACAATAAACTTTGTCCCTCTGAAACTTTATTTACTTGATGTTGCTGTTTGAAAGTTTTACTTAAAAACAACAAATTCTATGTGTGTGTATTTAACATCATTCTATCTCATATTACATATATATTACTTTGTTACACTTTTGTACAGTTGATTATCATTCAGATTTCTGTTGGGGGCACTGCCTCTCTTACCTGCTTGGAAAAAAAGCCCCTGACATATACCATACACTGGTAGAGATAACCTATTCATTCTGCAACATTTCTGGAGGGCTGGAAGATTCGAGATACAGTGGTGGGTGGTGAATGTATGTGTGTGAGAGAGAGACAGAACTGAGTGGAAAAATAAATCGAAAGAGAGACAGTGTGGGTGGGACAGACAGAAGGGATGGAGGAGGGATGCTACCGCAAAATATCTCCTTTTCATCTGGCATACTCAGACCAAATACACACAGACGCTGCCTTTCCTCTGGTTATAGAGGCTGAATATAAAACAGACAAGAGTCTGTGCTTTGTCCCAGGTGTGTGTGTCTGTCTGTCTGTCTCTGCTTGGTCTGTTGAGCCCCAAACAAACACACACACACTGAGACTGAAAGTGCATACACACAAACATGCACTAATGAATGTGCGAAGGAACTCAAAATAACATTTTAGCTAAAAATAAAAGCTTATGAAGCCCAGCCATCTCTCACCTAAAAGAGGACTATCATACAGCAAAAACAGTATTTTTAAAGGGTTAGTTCACCCAAAAATGAAAATTAGCTTGTGTTTTACTTACCCTCGAAGCATCCTAGGTGTATATGACTTTCTTCTTTCAGACGAATCCAGTCGGAGTTATATTAAAAATTGTCCTGGCTATTCCAAGCTTTGCATTTCATTGCAGTCAGCGGGTGTTGCAGTTGAACAGTCCACAAGTCGTCAAATAAAGCTCACGCATTCATAATAAAATGTGCCACAGACGGCTCCGGGGGATGAATAAAGGCCCCCTGTAGCGAATCCATGAGTTTTTGTAAGAAAAATATCCATATTTCAAACGTAATAAACACTTTTCTCTCACTTCCGTTATCTGTCATACGTGGATCCATTCCGGCGGAAGGCGTATGACGTATGCGCAGCGCGCACTCCTCTGAGATATGCTAGTCTCGCGAGTTTGTTTAATAGGAGCAAAGGAAGCAAAGTTTCCTTTAGCAAAGAAAGGGTTTGTACTTCTTATTCGTGACCGGCGTTTTGTTTTGTTCTCTCTCCGCATTCGTCACTAATCACACAACACCGCGCGTCTTACATCATCCGCAGGAACTGCTTCAGTGTATGACAGTCAGCGGAAGTGAGAGAAAAGTATTTATTACGTTTGAAATATGAATATTTTTCTTACAAAACTCATGGATTCGCTACAGGGGGGCTTTATTCATCCCCCGGAGCCTTCTGCGGCAAGTTTTATTATGAATGCGCGAGCTTTATTTGACGACTTGTGGACTGTTCAACTGCAACACCCGCTGACTGCAATGATAGAGCTTGGAATAGCCAGGGCAATTTTTTATATAACTCCGACTGGATTCGTCTGAAAGAAGAAAGTCATATACACCTAGGATGCTTCGAGGGTAAGTAAAACACAAGCTAATTTTCATTTTTGGGTGAACTAACCCTTTAATCACTGAATTTGAAAAACATTCTTCCGTTCTTATTCTTAGTCTAAATACATCTGTACATATTATTTACAAAATCATTCCAAATTAAAAAAAAAACTTTTTTAAATATAAGAATATTTACAGTTACATCAATTTTATCAGAAATAAGACCAATAATATTAATAAGAAAATTAATAAGAAAGCAAGTGAGTAAATAATTTAATTCACTATTTTTATATCAAATAGCTAAAATAAATAAAGCAAACTAATGGTAATTTTATATGTTTTATATGCCTGTTTTAACTTTTAACATGATTACATTTTGGAATTTTCCAAACAGATTTTTAAAGGGGTCGTATGATGTTGCTAAAAAGAACATTATTTTGTGTATTTGGTGTAATGAAATGTGTTTATGCGGTTTAAGGTTAAAAAAAAACATTATTTTCCACATACTGTACATTATTGTTTCTCCTCTATGCCCCCGCCTTTCTGAAACGCGTCGATTTTTACAAAGCTCATCGGTCTGAAAAGCGAGGTGTGCTCTGATTGGCCAGCTATCCAGTGTGTTGTGATTGGCCGAATACCTCAAGCGTGTAAACCCATTTAACCCATTTTATAAACCCATTATAAACGAGGCATTTGTTGCATCCAGTGGGGACATAATTACGGATTATAATGACTTATACTGTCTTTTTAGAAAAATTGAAATCGCATCATATGACCCCTTTAAGGTCTAATGTCAAGCAATCATCTTGAATGTAGTTCTATTATTATTTCACATGATGCTACTAATAGATCATGGTACTACTAATGCAGAGGTCATGGTTTGATTCCCAGGGAATGCAAATACAGAAAAAAAACACATTTTGAATGCACTTTCAAGTCACTTTGAATAAAAGCATCTGCCATCCAAGTGGTCTTAAAAAAGATGTACAAAAAATACCATGTTCATGTCAGAAATAACTTTCTGATGACTGCTGAGAAGTCTGTTCAAAATGACCAACTAATTTCAAGATGTTTATTATTTGTGACCCTGGACCACAAAACCAGTCATAAGGGTCAATTTTTCAAAATTGAGATTTATACATCATCTGAAAGCTGAATAAATACGCTTTCCATTGCTGTATGGTTTGTTAGGATAGGACAATATATGGCTGAGATACAACTATATGAAAATCTGGAATCTGAGGGTGCAAAAAAATAAAAATATTGAGAAAATCGCCTTTAAAGTTGATCAAATTAAGTTCTTAGCAATGCATATCACTAATCAAAAATTAAGTTTGAATACATTTACTGTAGGAAATTTACAACTATCTTTATGGAACATGATCTTTACTTAATATCCTAATGATGTTTGGCATAAAATAAAAATCAATAATTTTGACCCATACAATGTATTTTTGGCTATTGCTACAAATATACCCCAGTGACTTAAGACTGGTTTTGTGATCCAGGTTCACACACACACACTTCAAACACATTCCAAAGAGACGTAAATGACCCCCCGTGCCAGGCACCAATGGCCTGGCTGACCAGCAAACGACCCCCACGCTCACCATACACATAACACACACACATAAAGACTTTTTCTTTATTTAGACTATAATTAATCAGTTACAAATGTATCTGGTATATGCTTGTGTTATTTGTATGTTTCCCTATTATATTAGCCTAGTTACCACTCGTTATTTGTATTAGTTAAGCTCTAAACGCTCATATTCAGGTGTATGAATGTATCTCTGGTTTAATATCTTCTAGATGTTTCTTTCTTGGTATCAAAATGATCTGCTCTTTATTCCTCAAGCAATGATGTACACTATGTGATTGTGAAATGCATCATACTATTTGTACAATATTTTGGGTAAAACTGCACCAATCCTCCAGTCCGGCCATAAACACGCAAATGGGCCATAAAGGGAGACAAAGAAAACTTCTCCCACTCAAAAATTCACGCCTGGTATTGGCTATTCCACCCAAAAGGTGGGTGTGGATAGGAACTATCAAAAGTCATTAACTCAGAATAATCTTTACTCAGAAACCTCTCTTCTTGAGACGGACACTCTCCAAGACTCCTCAAAACTCTCCTCTTGATTTTTATTTTCTGGCGGTTTGTTTTCTTCAAGTAACTTTGTCGATTCGCTGTGGACTTTCCTATCTTCAGAAGAACCAGAGGAAAACCTCCAGCTCACTCCTAAAGAACTCATCAAGAACCTCTGTGTCTACCGCATCAGGACTCTTGTTCAGCAATGCCAATGCAAGTAACCGTTTACAACTATTTAGATGCGTGTTTAAGTTTGAGCCCCTTTTATAAGGTGATTTTTGATTCTTTGATGATTCTCATTAGGTTGTGGTTAATTGATGTGAAATACTGCCATTCTTTTGTTCTTCTCTCTCTTTCCTTACTTTCCTTCATTCTGTATATATGTGTTTTGCTTAGTTTAGTTGTACATTAGCTATAGTTTCATTTATTAAATCCCTTATATTCACAATTGATTGCCTCTGTGTGCTGCTCACAATTCGGAGTCACTGAATGTTGATCCCTTGCTACATGCTAAATTACTGCTAGTACTGCATAAAGTAGGAAAGCTACTGTTCCTTGGCCAGGAAAATAATCTTTCCTTGAATTGATAAATGATTATATTGTCTGCTCGGTGGATGGACAGATCAAATAATTGTAATATTGATTCTGCTACAGTTAATTCTAAGATCTAATCTAAATATTTATTATTAATTATAACCAGTTATAATTACTTATAAATATTTCCCTTTTGAGCTAATTTGCTTACATCTAATATCTTTTTTATATTGCACAATAGAAATGTGTTGATTAAAATGAAATATACGCAAAGAGAAAAGCACTCTAATGTTCTATCTTCAACCAACCAAAGATCAACATTCAAAACAAATCAAGATGCACTTAAAATTAATTCAAGCAGAAAAGTCTTTATAAATAGCCAAATATTCCCGTGAACGTAGAGTGAACTAATCGTTTTGACTTCAAGGAGCACAATCTACAAGGCGGCTTAGTGTAAGAGATCCCTGTGGTCTTGACTGTGGGCAACACTCTGGGGAGGAAATGGTAATATCAGCTTCCTCTGTAGGATCCCTCCAGGCCCACTCTGGAGGACAAGAGGGTTTGTGGCAGCAAAGGCTCTGGGTTAAGGGATCATCTAAGCCTCTTGAGGCTTCATCCTGGATTATTTAAACTGCCTCTTGGAGCTCCATGGGAATAGGCTCTTAGCATAAGTTTGAGCAGGACCCAGAAAGAGGGGAAAAAAACATAAAACACTCACTTCATTTATGAGAAACTGTAGCTGGATGACGGCTGCTCCGCTCTCGTGCTGACAGTAACACTCCACACCGGGTCGGCCGAATCTGAAAGGGTTCTGAGTCAAGGAGAGAATTGGGAAAATCAAGGCTAACAAGATCAGGACACTTTTGGGTCAAAATCTGAACATGCCACTTATTGTTTCAGCATTTTATCATAATTTTTTTTTAATTAAAGGCACTGTTCCAGTAAATGCATGTCAGTCATTGTTCACCCTCTGTGGACATACAAGTTAATTACCTCTGCCAATCTCTCTGGCATGGCTGCTAGCAATGAAGTCTGTCAGTCACTGTCAAATCTGCTCTATGAAAGCCGGTAATAAAACATAACAGCTCACTTTATAAACATTATTGTTGTTTTGACAACATTTTCCAATGTCACAGACAGGCTCTCCCTGTCTGAAGAGTCTGAAAAGACTGTCAAAAAGTAAAAGGTCCTGATTTACTAGAGCCCAAATCAAGTGTACTAATACTAATACCATATTCTCACTTGTGGCTAAATATGGAATATATATTGATAAAAGTATGATATTACATATTTATATAAATAAGGTATATAATAGTAAAAACAACAACAATATACAGCCTAATTATATAAGTATGTTATCATGTCTTTTTTTTTTTTTGTATAATTTCATTGTGAATTCTAAACCATAGTTTAGGAAAAAAAACACTTATGGAGTGGTCAATTACTGTTACTTGTTAAAAAGGAGCAATTAACATCATAAATCATTAATAATAAACACCTGAATCACATAAAGGCATGCATCATGTATATTCAAGCATCCTCTACTTTCATAAAAGACTGATCGAGTTAATATTAATGACTTCAAAAAAATTATTTTAATTAAATGGCAAAAAGTTGGGGAAGAGTATGTAATTTCTCAGCAGGCTAATTGGATGCCTGGCACATGGTGTGTGAATGTGTGTGTCTGTGTTTGTGCTGTAGAGATATAATTTGATGATAACCTCTACTGGGAACTGCACACACTCATATTTCCACAGCATGGAGAGAGAGAAAGAGAAATGAAGGGAGGAGAGAGCAAGATGCGCATATGCGTATATGCAATCAGGGTGGTGGAAAGAGGGAGGGAAGAACAATTAAAACAGATTAAAAGAGTGATCACTAGAGCTCAAATTGTTGGCACAGAGACAAGATGCAAACAGCAATACACAAGCATGCATAAAAAAAACGTGTAATGGAGTCTCACACTCAGGAGGATTATGAACACAGATGCATGTCTGATGTTTGTATGAGAGTATTATGAGAGAAATGTGAATTATTAATATCACATATTTAAATAATAAATATAAACCGTAGATTTTATCATCAATATATTACTAGAATGACACTTTTTTAGCTGCATTTTATAGTTGCACTGAGTGCAGACTGAGCAGCCTTCATTCATCACCTAGAGGAAGCCAGTACAGTCATTCAGTGGCTCATTCCGTCTATACATCACAGGCGCTTTGAAGTGACAGGGACGGAAGATACCGGAGGAAATTGTGCATGTCGATAAGGACATGCCTTGAATCCTCATACATCCTCCGATCACCTGTAGCTGCCCGCTTTGGACCCTCATCGTGTAATGAGGAAACACACACAGTGGTCGGCTGATATGGTGAGGACAGGGGCAATCGGTATGGGTCAAACAAAGAAAAAAGACAGATACAAAATACTAGCAAAAATACTAATGAGAGAGATCATCACTGCATAAATGACAGCACAGATTAAAAAAAAAAGCCAAAAACTCCCTGACATCACAAACATGTTGACAAGAGGGCAAAGCAGTAGAGAAAGTGTGAAAGGGAATGCTGGGAAGAGAAAAACACTGCTGACTCTATGCCCACACGCAATAAAGTCCAGTGGGCTGTTCATGGCTATAAAGAAATCACCCATTAAATCTTTTCACAAACAGCAATGAGCAGTCTAAGATGTTGCCATTACTAGACAGTAACCATGCATTTAATGTATTAATTATGGCTCTGTTCCCAAACCTATTAAGCTGTCTACAGAGGCAGCATTTTAAGGCATCGTAGACACAAAAGCAGTTCCACTGACTAGATTATATCAACTTCTAAAACTCGCTTTGACCAAATGCAAAAGGCTTGACATATTGGTATCTTTTATAACGCTTAGCAAAAAGGACAGATGAGGTTAGATAAACATTGATTAGAAACTTATATTTCACTCAATACTAAAAAGTATTGATAAAAACAGTTCAGGGTCATTAAAAATTAATCTCTTTGTATTTATCTTACCAACATGCTAACATCAAAATCTATTAAAATCAATAGTGAAATGAGCCTCATTTTTCATTTCTGTAAGAATGCTATCTTAGAAGGCCGCTTACTAGGTTTTGGAACACAGCTAATGTCAGTGTGGCTATATCAAAGACATTAAGTCAGTCAAAAGTAGGCTAAAGGAGGGAGAGAGAAAAAAAGCAGGAAGAAAAAGAAGGCCGCCTACGGGGTCAATAGTGACGTTTATTCTGTTCTGACGTCAGGAGTGTCCAGTCATGCTTTACCATAAGAGAGACAAGACAACACACAAACACATGAATATGCACATAGAGAGCTAACATGTTACAGTGAGCTCCAGTGATGCTACCAACTGTGTGAGAAATACAAGCATACTCTCTCTTTCACTCCCATGCTCCTGGGAATGATTCATTTGTCTAATACGCTTTCTAAATAAATAAACTCCAGAGGCACGTTTGATTTATTGGGGACCCAAACAATTAAAGTTGCAAGCACTGTGGCTGTCACTGCAACAAACTGCCTTCACCTTGAGCATGCTTCAGTGCACATACGCTCTCAAACAAGCCACTCTGCAGATACACTTGACACGCAGCATGCTCTATTAAAACATCCTATACTCAGCACCACTGTAATCAGCTAACATGCAACCGGGGATGATTCATTTTAATGCACTTACTGTTTCGCTGTTTTTCCAGCGAAAGCAGCCCTGTCTTGGGAAATTTGCATATGGGGACATTTTTTCTCCACAATCTTGGCTTCCTTCCATGTTATATCTTAGCAGCTTTTATGTGTTGAATCAAGCATGATAGCTTGTGCTTTACAACCATGATTTTCACATAACATTTCAACTGCTGAAAAAGATGCACACAATGTGGTTTAAATAAACTGACCAAGAGACCGACACAACTGTAAATCACACATTCTTTGTGTCTATGCAAAAGACAAACAGACAAAACAAATCAACAAACGACAAACAGACAGAACGATAGATAGAATGACAACAGATGGACAGACATAAATGGACAGACAGAACTAGCTATTTTTGTTTATGTGATCATCTCATAAAGAAACATTCAAACAGTAAGAATTATACAGGAGGACTCACAAATGAAAGAAAGTGCTGTGTGCATCATTAAAAGCCTCTCTCCCTGTAGGTGGGTGTGATTGATTCCTGGAGATTGGCCAGAGAGTATTAATGACCCTGTTCTTCAAGCTAAATTTAGATCTAGCGTTCACCACTCACAGAGGATGATGTAGACCCTCTAAAACACACACACACACACACACACACACAAATATAAGAGCTAAGAAGCTGCAAAGGCAAGAGAACAGCGAAGAGAGGGAAAGGGGAAATGAAAAGCTAGTAGATTCTCTTGTTGCCAGAGGCCAAAAGAGAAAATATATAGTGCAAAGTAGAAGCAGGACGCTCTTTAAACTTTATTAAGGGCTTTCCAAAATTTGAAAGTGAAACCTTCTTAGTTGTTTGCCAATGAGTTATATAAGCTGAATCAGTTAATTAAAGTCTCTATCATTTTTTTTAAACAAATCATATTAACTACCATTTGCAAAGATAATGCCTCAGTTCAAATCTCAAAACTAGGTTATACAGCTTTAGGACTTTGCTATAGGACATTGATACAGCTCAAAGTGCTTCATCTCATTCGTATGAGTCTGTAAAATGTCTTCTGACTGTATCTCTCCTATCAAATGTGCTTTGTGTTTAAGATGAATAGATGAAGACATAATCGATGTCTGAAAGAGAGAGAAGCACACTGGGTATTGTGAATGAAACAGGATATTGCTACCCATGGGGAGCAACAAAAGACACTCTAAACATCAAATCAATCAACATTTAAACATTCAGTGAGACTGTGAACTGTTTATGATGCTGTGTCTGATACCCTATGAGAAGTCTCAAATTCACACAAGTCATTATGGCTGTTGAATAAATGTTTTGATACAAGGTGTCCTATTAAAACGCATGGCCCCATGAAGGAAGACTAGACTAGCGACTGCAATGCATTAGTCCAGAACACTTCTGTCAGGTTTTCAAAGAAAAGGTAACATACATAAGTTCATTTGCACTTAATGTAAGGAGGAGTGGAAAGAGGATTATAAGTAGAGGATATTGAAATGTGCTAATATTTTACACACCCCAAATGTCATTCACTGGTCAGGATATATGTTATGCAGTACATTAAAGCTAAAAAAAGTGTTAAATATTTAAAAAGCTACTTTAAATGATAAAACTAGTCAATGGTAAGATTCAAAATTTCATCAGAGCCATATATCTCTAGGCTTCTGATTGAAGAAACAATCTTAATTAGGTTGACAGCATCAGACTTTAAAGGATAAGTTATTACCCCATCCAATATCCAAGTTACTAAAGTACATTTTTAAAGCAAAAAAATTATTTATAATGAAGCCATTTTTTTCTGGGTTTTTGAATGAATTAATCTTAACTACAATACCAAATTTAAATAGATAAATTAATACTACCTTTAAAAAATGGGCTCAAAAACAGTAATGAACAGCAGCCTGAAATGAATGACCTGATTCACTAGAATGAATCAGATTTTCTAACTCTACTCTAGAGATAATAATTTAAGAGAATATGGACGCTCAACAGTAAAGCTGCCTACACAAAATGTGGCATTAAAAAAAAACACCACTACTTGTTGGAAAAAGTAACTGGTTACTAAAAAAAAATGTCTCTAGGTTACGTATGTAACCATGGTTCCCCGAGGGAACGAGACGCTGCGTCGAGATTCGCTTTGGGAACACCC